ATAATAACTTCTGGTTGTAAGTTGTAACACTATATGTTAGTGGTTGGCCGGTAAGATTATATTGACTTTGCCTATTCACCTTTTTTTTTTAAAAAAAAGTTCCAATAGATTATTAAATTCATCAAAGATTATTTATTAGATTATGACATTTGCATTAAAAAGAAGAGATTGCAAAAAGGAAAGCCCACCACATCGCAAGCAACCGACACAACTAATTAATTAAATCTACTAAATATATAGCTGTATTTTGAGAAATCCAACAGGTAGCTTTTTTTTTTTCTTCTTCCAATTCTTGTGTTGTTTATCTTTTTAGGACAAATTCAACAATTTGGAAAGTTGAATCACTTAAGCAAACATATTGGAATCAAAAATTTTTTTTTAAAAAAAAGAAGAAAAAGAAACCAAGCTAAAGGAGCATATCCTAATAAATTACAACCACTTTCATCAAAATTTTCATATACAATACAGAACAACTCATTTTGATAGTGACGTGGAAAAATTGTTCAAAACGTCTCTTATATTTATTAAATAAAATTTTTCATCATTCACTTTTAAAATATTAATTTTATGTCATTTACAAATTCAAGTAAGCAAAAATTGGTCCAAATCTAAGTGCTCGATCACTTTTTACCTTGAATCCATTGCATAATTCAGACGTGGTCATTTTTCAGGGACAAAGAGATTAGATATCATTTGTAGTTAAACAAATGACTTGATACATATTCATTTTTGTCTCTTAAAAAGTAAAATTTGACCCAAAAATTATTTTTTCTCTGAAAAACAAAATCTGACCCGATCCATGTTCATTTTTTTTTTTGTCTCTAAACAAATGGGATTCGATCTTTTTGTACCTAAAAAATGATAGCATACGAGTCACATGGTGATTTTACATTAAAACGTAGTTGAAAACCTAAGTTAAGACCAAATTTTACTTACTTGAATTTATAAAGGACATAAAATTAATATTTTAAAGTGAATGACAAAAAATTTCATTTATCGATTAAACTATTTTCCCTATTGATATCTATGAAATGAATTTTTTTTTTAATCTAAGAACCACTTCATATCAAGCAAATAATGGCTTGGTTGTTTTGTACAGAAAGCCCGTTGACACTCCATGGCCCATGTTGCTCCTGGTTTTTTTCACTTGATGATTTCAGTGGCCTTGCTGTTCTAGCCCTGGTGACCCAGCTTTGTTTGCATTTTGGTCATCAATGTCGTATATCTTTCATTACCAGACCAGATATTATTGATTTTATTATGGAAATAAATAATTTATGTACAGGTAGAACTACAGTTAAATATCATTTTCGCTTTTGTTTATCATAAGGGTAGATGAAGGTGGACAAATGCTTTTTTTTTTTTTTTAATATATAATTATGAAAACCTATATCTATTTCAATCCCATCTACACGATGGATTGAGTCAAGTTTGAAGTTACCACATTTCTTTCAGACAGCAATCACTATGTTTAATTGTCGCTTTTGTCATTGATAGGGGCTCTTCCATTTCTACTAAAAATTAGGGGTAGAACCCACCAAATTTATATCACTTAAAAGTCTCTCACTACTAATATTTTTAGAGTAAATTTTATTTACACTAATAGTGTATATATTGTATTCTTAGAATTCATGATACATGTATAAAAGTTGAATTTTAAATTCATATTTTACATAATTATAATTTATCCAACGCTAATAGTGTACATACTGTCAGTGTAGAAAAGATTAATACATATTATTATTCAGCTTCTTGATTCCTTGGGCTTAAAGGCGAGAAAACTAACAAATCATCCTAAGCGTGAACCATGAAGAGATTTAATAGATAGAAATGATATGGTGGGTCGTGAATTGTAATTGACGTGGTTCAATTTGAGTCATTAATTTTAATTTATTCTAAAAAGGATACTTGCTGCATCTTAAATTACTTTTTGCATTTTGGGATTCCAATTTTTTAAGAAATAGTGGATTGATGATGATGATGTTAATAGATTTGTTTCCAAAATTATCATCGAAAATTCAAATTTTAAATTTGAATTTAGTGTGAAATATAGATAAAAGTGGGGATAACATTAAAAAAAAATCAAAACTAACCTTTTTGACTTTGTAAGATAAGAGTGGAGACAACATTAGAAAAAAAATCAAAAGTAATATTTTTGACTTTGGTAAGATAACAAACATTTCGAGATATCTCAAAATGAAAAATATAACACTTTTAATAGAACGGATGGGAATAGATTTGAGCACCTTAGTTTAGACCATTCTATGGGGCATTTTGAAGACTCACCATCCATTTGAAGATACGGTGGTTGTAGATATTGCAAAGAAAAGGGTAAAGAGCCCATTGGATTATTCATATTAACATAGACAGAAGTAGAAAATTTAAGTTGAAGGAGCGAATATTAACATATTTAAACCAATATGTATAATATAAAATATTTTAAAGTTTTTTGTGGAGGCAAAAGTTTAAATTATTAATTTTTTTAAAAAATATTTTCAATTTAAAAAATAGAGTTCTTCTCTGGGCAATTAAGTTCGTTCTTCAACTCAGCCTTCTCTTGATACAGCTCTTTATCCAAAGCCCAACAAGGATAGAAGGTTATTTGAAATAATTACTATTATAACACTTTTTTGTGATATAATGTATGTGAGATAAAAAGATAATTGAAAATTGTGTTTATAATGTAAACAGACAAAATTTGAAATTTTTTTTTTTTGACAAATCTTGATAACCAAACATACTCAATAGCTTTCCCAGTTACAGCAATGAATAACCCAAGCCCTGCATCCTTGTATAATCTTTGCATTCTTTTGAAATTGTATAATTACCTTGAGCTTTGGACTTGAGACTAAAAAACGACCAACTTTTGTCTCCTATTCTTCATGCTAATTACATGAAATTTAGGTCTTGTGCTCAGAAATCAGAGCATTTCCCAAGTTAAAGGAAAAATATGGTAAGTCACATATATCTATGCATTCCCAAGTTAATCAGTGATCTTGTAATATTTTTTTCACCCATATTTCTTTTCTGCGTACTATTATAATGATAAAATTTCTTTGTCGAGAAGGTTTTGATCCAGTGATAACGGTTGAAACTTCACGGATTAAAAGTAGTTTTTACATTCTCTTTGGTTCTTTAACATTGCAAAAGTATTCCTCTATCTATTATTACTACAACCACTCCATCTTTTCTCATGTTGTACTTTAGGATGAAATGCATGGCTGCATTTTTTCCTGTTGTATGATTAAAAAAGTTAAGAGTACTAATAACATCTTCTTATACCCAATTCCTTTTCTGAAATTGCAGTTAAAGGGCATGCTTGAGATGTGCAATAAGTGATTAACAATGCACAAAGACAAACTATTGGATAAAAACATCAAAATTTGATGCTCTCTCAAGCAAGACGAAGAAACTTTATGATGATTTAGATTTCGACTTTCATATCTGTAACACAAAAAAGAACGGCCTTTTGGACCTGTTCCTGGGCTTAAGTACAGTGCAATCCAAGTTTAACAACACCACTTTGTAACCCATACATTCTAAACTCAATTAATCACTAAAGCGTCAATTTTATCTTCAATAAGCAACTGATATTTGTCCTCCAAGATTAGCTTCTGACATAATTGTTATGGAGTGTAAGTATCATCTACACAAAATAGATTCAACCTCTGTTTTAAAACTCGGACCGGACCGGCCGGTTGAACCGGGAACCGGCCAGGTAGCCGGTCCGAGTCACATTAAAAAACCGGAAATTTAAAACCCGGTCAAAAACCGGGTTTGATCGGGAAAAAACCGGTTTTCCGGTTCAACAGTAATTTTTTTAAAAAAAATTCAAACTTTTTAATATTATGTTTTGACCCCCTAAATTATTAAAACTTATTGATATACCTCAAATATTTGATACTTTATAAATATTGTCCTAAAATTTGATGTTATTTTTTAATTAAATTCATAATTTTAATTCTAAACTTGTTAATATTTATTAAATAATATAAATTGCTACTTGATTGTTCTAATTTTTTTGTATTTTCTTGTTAAATATATTTGAAACATCAAATATCTATAAATATACCTTTATTAATATCAATATATTATTAGATATTATATATATAATATTTTAATTTTTAAATAATTTTTATTTATGACGTCATCCGGTTCGACCCCTATCGACCCCCGGTCGAACCCATTGACCCCTGACCTCGGCCGAGTCACTATCCGGTCCGGTTCTGAAAACATAGGATTCAACAAGCACAAGTGCACTAGCTTCCGTTAATTAAAAAAGGGTTATAAACAAAAAAGCTCCTTGTGGTATACTTAATACATAGAAAAGTCTCCCCGTGGTTTCAAAACATATAAAATGACACCTCATGTTTTGAACTAAATTGTAAACTTACAGAATTCGTTAAACTTAACGGAATCCGGTAAACTTAATGATAAATTTAACGGAATCCAGTAAGTTTAACAACCGAAATTGTCATTTTCATTAAGTTTCTATTAGTTTATAATATAGTTCAAAACATGAGGTGTCATTTTATATGTTTTGAAACCACGGGGGACTTATTTGTGTATTAGGTATACCACATGAGACTTTTTTGTTTTTAACCCATTAAAAAACCAGGTCTATTAATTCTCTTTTCAAGTAGCTTCGGTTAGTTTAAAAACCAGGTTAATTTATTGTCTTTTGAAGTCTTTCCCATTCCCTTCGCCAATCACCCTTTAAATGGTAAAAAATTGCAACAGAAAAAGAATATTTGCTTCAACTTTACTAATCGCACGGTGCACTGGTCCTATTAGTTGCGGTTACCTACCTCATAGGGAGGTGGCAGAAGGGCTACATCAATGATAATTGCATCAGTAAGTAGGACAACGAAGGGTGGCCAGCTTAATACCAATCTTGTTTTTGGGGTTAACTTCATCAATGGTAGAGATGAATTTCAACCAAAACTAAACCAAATGAGGAACATATATCATACATTTGCCACCAAAATTTTCTCACTTCCAAACGGTACAAAATGTCAACTCCAGTCCAGAGTTTAGTCTAATGAGTCTGATGACACCAAAGGAGTAGGAATGGCCCGGATCAATAGACCTTCCAAGAAAACTGACATGCCACCTTTTGAACAGTGATGAATGAATGGCCTGCACATTTTGGCAGATAAAAGACCCTTGCTGATCAAACCACCATTCATCATTATATACTAGGCACTAGCCATGAGTTTTATTTATTAGGCAAACCCTTGTGGATTCGAAATCCTATATTACTTTGTTCAAGAAACAGCTCCATTACATTAATTTGCTCTAGGAAATGGGAAGTGAGTCCAAGCCAAATAAATTCCACTATGATTTATCCATGTCAAAGAGGACTCGAAGATCATTGAATCTCGTTGAAGATGATCATGATCAAGGCTCATTTCAAGCATGGCATGGAGAAGAAGAATGTGCCCTGGAATTTGCCATTGGGGATGAAGAAAAGGGCAGCATTAGTTTGAGTGAAGCATCGGAAAACGACCAAAAGAAGAGCTTGAAGCAGCTGATCGGTGGAAGGAGCCTTAGCCAACATTTCTCACAGGAAGAGCCACAGCTTCAATTGGTTGTTAAACAGCATGATCAAGAAGGACTGAATGGATTGAAGTTCACAAGGATGGTGAGTCGTTATGCAAAAGCTTTAAGCCATTTGATCAAGCTTAAGCGAAAACAACAAATGGGGCTTTACAAGAAACCAGTTCTTCCATTGACCAATTAAGTTGAAATCTGTAGAAACTAAGCAGAAATTATATGCTTAATAGTCTTGGCTGCAGCTTAATCTGCGTCCTGCTTTGATTTGCAGCCCACAAATTAATTCTGCTGCCATCTTGTTTTATTTATTGTTTGGCTTGTAATATTACTTTTTTGCAACTATAAATTTATGATATACTATTAATACTTTATAATTTTCTCATCCCAGCTATTGAGTTTTACCTTCTTATCTTCACCATGTGCATGTTTTAAATCTTTGAATTTGCTTCAATTCTACTTTTTTTTTTTCCCAGAATCGATAAAAAGTTCTATTGATAATAAGATTAAAATTACACTGTGAGTACCGGCTCATATTGAGCTATATAAAAGTCTACTAAAACACTGAGCTTATATTACTAATTGATTAGCAGCATTTGTATGTCCAGTCAGTACCAAATTACATTTGGACGAAGCGTTGCTAGCTGGTGTACCATAACCCGAATCGCAAACTGGTGTGTTGATAAAACAGCCAATTAGGAATGAATAGAAAGACTGTTAGTCCTCTCTTACATTAGCTCATATTCATGAAATCAAAATTTGGGCAAGCTAAAAGTTTAATTTGTGGAGATGCTTTCGATCAATAAATCTACTGATTAACTGTTTCAAATCCAAGATTGTCAACATAGCTTCAAATACAATTTGCTGCTAATTAACGTGTAAACTCCTTTTTCTTAATCCTTTGTGTCATCAATTTAATTAATTATGTTCGTTTTGTTTTTCTAATAAAGTCTTTCCTAAGTTTTTTCTTAGCAGGAGTTTTTTGTTTTTCCTGGAATTCCTAGTGAGAATTTTCAATTCCCCTAGGGATTCCTTTGGAAATTTTTGTGTTTTTTTGTTGTTAAATGTTAACTTATTTTAGATCTAGCTATCGGATCTAAATTTTTTTTGGAACTATTGACTTATTTCGATCGATGTCATCATCATTATTGGAGTTTAAAACCATTGATCAGTAAATATGGTGATTGCAGCAACATACACATAAGGGATCTACAACGATTTATCTATTAGAAAATAATTTTGAAATTTCTTGTATTTTTAGATCTGTTCATAATTTTTTCAAATCTATTGTATCTATTAAATTGTAAGTCTGTAATTTCTATTGTATGTTTAACCTTCCATTAGAGCAGTAGTAATGTAAATCATATCGTGTTGGATGATTTTCAACAATTTGTTAATGACTTTTACTTTTTATAAAAAAAAAAAAAAAAAAAAAAAGAGAGCCTTACTTGAACTCCATAGCATTTGGTCCATTGGACTGCTAGCTTAGTCCAATCAAAGGATTGTTTTCTTATTTTTCTAAATATTCAATGCCAAATACCTTAGCAGGCAAGCGTTAACACGACTGAATAGATTAATCGGGAAAAATATATATTTGTCGCAGCTTCTCAACTGCGTGCGTTAAACCAGGAATCTCCCACGTCAGGAGGCCAAGCAGCTTGGTGGAATGCACAGAAAACAAGATGGACTTCTCGTGGATTTCTACTTCAAAACCAAAGGCTAAGCTCCCAAAAGCAGAAAATATGTTGGGAATGCTATAGTTTTACTTTACCACAAGAACATTAGCTCATAGATTTTGAATACTAATCTAAAACGCTAACTAGTAAATCAATTAAGAATATGGAGAAGTTTTGGCTTGAGGCGCGCGTAATTTTAGGGGGAAACAGAAGAACCTTGTGAAAAAACTAAGGTTCCGTTTGATAAAACTGAATCTGAATTCTGAATACTGAAACAATTAATTTGCTGAATTTTAAGCACTGAAAAAAATATATGAATGTCTGAATTTTAATGCTAAACCTATTTATACTGTTTGATAAATATTTATAGCTGAATGCTTAATAAGTTTAATTTGACAATTTTGTCCTTATTTCCTTTCATTCAAAAAACAAATAGAATCTATGATTTAATTAGTTTAAAATTGTTAGGTATGAAAATGACAATATTTATTTTTAAATCAAATTAATATAAAAGATGAAATATATTATATGAGAAGTACGGAGAAGATGTAAAAGTCATTAAAAAGGGAGAAAAGAGAAACTAAAAATCATTAGATAGAAAATATTAGATTGTTTAATTAGATAAGAATTTTGAACATAATTAACAAATAAGGGTAGATTTGGTAGATAAGACAATGTAGTTGAAGTAATTCTATTGATTCTGATCAGAATTAAGCATTCAGTTAGGATTCTTGTGCTGAAAAAAATACACACAGGTTCAGCACTGCTTAACAAGTTCAGCAAATAGATTTTCATTTATCAAACACGTAAAACATCTGAATGTCTGAAAAAATTCAGATTCAGCACTTTTTTATGTTATCAAACATACCCTAAGGGTGTACTAAAGTAAGTGCGTTTTAGACTTTTGGTTATACTAGTAGATTCTTTTTCTCTTTGAATTGCAGCGAAATGCCTTTTGATAGAATTTTGCAGGCACCAATAATAATACTGCAGATATATCTTAGATGCTAAATTAAACATAATTTGAGTACAATTAGTTTCTATGCACAAGATAGGATAGGTGGTTAACAAATTAGAGTATTATATATGCTGACCTTTTCTTTCTCTCCTTTTCCTCGCCAATTGGAGATGGCTTCTACATGACTTGCTAGATAAACTTGGTTTGCTAAAAACAATACAAATGAAGCACTACTCTATCGCTGCTCGTAAAAATGTTTGTCTTCCACTACAATTTCATTGGAATGTTATTCTCATGTTCTTGATTCATTTGCTATTCACTTTATGTACGAGTAGTTTTTAGTTTTTTTTTAGTTTTTGTTGTTTTGAGGGTTGCTATTAATGATAATGATGGGTTGCTATTTTGAATTGTATTTTTTCCACTTGAGTACTTCTTTTTCAATTAGAAGGGTATCATAAATTTTTGTACATAAAAAATCCATTTGATGCATCATGAAATATTAACAATGTGGTATGATGCAACCCTTGGATGCAATACGGTATGTGCTATTAGTTCTGTGCTAATTTGTTGAGACAAAGAGAGAAGCTCATTGCTCCATTGGCAAAGGCGTTTCAACATCATTTGTGGGATTGCTCGGGGGCTTCTTTACCAACACCAAGACTCGCGGTTCATAATTATTCATAGAGATCTCAAAGCAAGCAATATTCTCCTTGACAAAGAAATGAACCCGAAACTTTCAGATTTTGGCATGGCAAGAATTTTTGGAGGGGATGAGACAGAAGCAAACACGAGAAGAGTAGTTGGAACATAGTAAGCCGCAAATGCAAATCCTTGGTAGCATTCAGCTTAACATTAATGCACTACCACTTACAACTATATCCTGGATGTTTTTTTTTTTTGGAGTGGTTACATGTCCCCAGAATATGCAATGGATGGCATCTTCTCTATTAAATCTGATGTTTTTAGTTTTGGAGTTCTAGTCACTTATGACCTTTTGTCTTCCCTTGGATGCAATACGGTATGTGCTATTGGTTTTGTGGTTCTTTTGCCTAAATGGAGTGAGGTGGCCAGATGATGCAATAATAACACTTTAACCCACAATTACGATTATATAAAGCTTTAACAATAAATTTAAAAGGACATAATTGGAATACCAAAAAGTAAGATCAGAAGCTGCTTACCCTCGCACTCTAAAGTACCATGACTCATGGTATCTTTTATATAGTAATGATAATGATAATGATGGAAGTAAAGCTCATGGTACCTTTTCTAAACTAGTGCTGCTAAACTAACGGCTATTATTGAATCAAATTCGAGTAATTTAAACTTTTTGGACGTGAATTAGAATTAAGCTTAATTCAGGTTGCATTTGCAGATTTATGAAATATACAAAATATTAGCTTAGTTAGCAAACCAAATTCTAGCAAGTTGAGCATAAACAAGCTATTATCGAGTCGAATCTAATTCGGATATCAAATAATTTGATCCGTCTTTCAACTTTTAAATAGAACTATAGTAATATGCTTTCAAAAATTAAAGACAAATCCAAAGAGAGCTTTTTTTTTTCTTTTCCATTTTGAATAGCCAATAAATTTTAATCCCAAATTAAGAAGATAACTTCAACCTCGATGATGAGCAAACGTAAGATGACGTATTGTATACCCAATGTCTCTGTAGCTAGCTGCCTAGCTGTTCAAGGGTCTGCTTCAACCTCACCTCACGCTCAAACTTAGAAAAGTGCTGGAACGAAGACGTCCTTTGATTTCCCACATCGTTCTTGGGGGTTTGGGGGATAAGTCCCAGGGAACCTTAAAAGTGCCGGCTTTTGAGGTCAACCTCTGAAATTAGGTTTATTTGCGAAATTCCTTATATCCGGAAGAAAAGGAAAAAAACGTCCTTTGATTTGACCCTGGTGATGGGACCATCTCAAATCAATCCGAGCCCGAGTAGAGTTTTACTTTCAGTCTTTAATTTTAACTCTGAATTATGATTAAGAATGTCCATGGATGAAATTTTATCCCGATCTAATTTAGACCTAATATATTTCGATAGGATTTGAATTTAATTTATCAAATCCAAACCCTATAAATGAGTTATAGTTTGGTTAGATTTTAATTTTATATAATTCAAAACTAAACCTAGATTTAAATCAAATCTTACAAAAATACATATATAAATGAAATAATCTAATATTCTATATCATTATAATTGGTACAAACATTTATATATTTCGGAAAAGTAGAAAAAGTAAAAACAAACAAATGCAAAATTGAATGTAAAATGCAGATGAACCTTTGAAAACAAGTAGTTTTAGTTGATAATAGTACTTTCTTTGAATTCATAATATTATATTCAACATCTTGAATGTTAATTTTATTATTCAAAAATAAAAATTGCATGTCATTTATGCTATTCTTGAAACTCTATAATTTCCAAAATATTTTTACTTTAATTCTTTACCATACATTCAAAACAATATCACAGATACTCATTAGATATACCTTTTCATACCACCCATAAGGGTTTAGGTCTAGATTTGAATCTAAATCTAATTAAATTCTATTGATCTAAATCTGAATCAAAGGATCCTAACTACTAACATGCCTAATTACAATTTAAACAGTATATGCAGAGTCCTACGAGGGTTCAAAACTTCGAAGACTTAAAAGAGAGTTTTATGCCGCAAAGGATCCCAAAAAGAGCAAGCCGCTGAATCATGAATCTCTTCATCTATATCAAAGTCAATCCCAATTT